CCTCCCCCCCCCCCCACCACTTCCTGTGTCCGGAGTAGGGGCAAGGCACTTAGTTCCTATTGAATTATCTGTCACAGGAGTTTTCTAGAGAGCCTATGCCAGCACAGACCCTTAAGTTGTCTGCCTAAGAGTACATTCAGTGTGAAAATAAATCTTAAATAATCTGTTCCATGAGGGAAGTGACTGGAAGCAACTTATCCACCATATTCCATGTCTTTGTCCCATCCTGTTGATTCACCTCCTCTTGCATTTTCTATGTGCTCACATCATTCTACCATACTACAGGTCCTTGTTGTTACTGAGTAAAGAGTGCTGGAAACTAATCACTGTTCAAGAAATGCTCACTTCAAGTGTTCTGTACTTCAAAGCTCAGGATTTTCTAAGTATGGTTTGGTTACCAGCACCATGTATTGCTGTCTCTTCAAGACAGGCTCCACCATGCAAGGCTCCACCAAATGAATGCTTCCCCACCCCAAAATAAGCAAGTGTTGCATTATTAACCCTTTTGTTCAACAGTAGAGAGTGTAACAACTAGCCTTTGGCTACTGGAGTTGAATAAATCAAAGTAAGAACCTATCCATTCCAATAATGTTCCAAAATATAATAAAATTTGATCACCTCATCTGCAATGAATATTTAACAGCAAATCCTTCATCTTAAAGTAGTTAACTCTGAAATCAAACAAGAAGTTACAGTTTGATATTTTTCATGATCCAGCGATGTAGAGTCCTTTTGGACAGGACAGTAAATACTCATATTTTACAGAGAAAGAAAAGCCTATCTTCAGGGAAGGAGAGAAAGTATTAGAGCCATTTAGCTCATGATGAGCCATGTGTTCACAATGACTCAGCTTTCAGATCAGTTTCATGAAGCGTCCCTAGATATCCAACCACTTTCTGTTAGGAAATTTAAAATCCTTTTCTTTAGTACCTTGTCCAAGTAACTGGGAAGACGACTTTTGGAAGGAATACCCTGTCTTTTTTGGAGATGGTCTTTAATAATTATAGTTTTCACAGTCACATAACGTGCAGGACTCAGATTTAGAGAACTACAGAGTACCTTTTCTCTGTCTGATAAGAGTTCAAAGCCAGGCAGATTTTCAATTGCAGCAAATTCCCCATCTTTACCATCTTCCTTTCCTCTCTTGGAACTGGCTATGTTTTTATTCTCCTTCCTCTTCTCCCGTTTATGTCTAGCTGCCTCATACTCCGCTGACTCTTCCATTTTGGTAATTCCATTTCGCCGGTACCGCTGCAGTTCTCGAATCTTTGCTCGAAGTATCCTCTCTTTGTGCATATTTTCAAAAAAGTCTTCAAACTCCTTACAAGACATGAATTGATAGAGAGGCCTCAGTTTTAGCCTCAACTCCCTTTCTTCTTTTGTGATTTTCCGTTTTGGAGCTTTTTCTTTGTCCTTTTTATCTTTCCCAAGAAAGGCAGGCACCAGATTATAATCTCGTGCAATGTTTTTTCGCCGCTGCCTCTCCTTAAGCTTTCTTACATACATATCAACGTGAGCTCTTTTCAATTCTATTTCCACATCATCATCATCATAGTTCACTGAAAGGCCACTGATCAGAGTCTCAGCATCTTGGTCATACTCAATCTCATAGTCATCTCGAAGTGGCATATACCCCAACTGCTGCTGTTCTGCCACTGATATGTCCAAAGGAGGGAGGGGTGTGGTTAGGCTAGGAGAAAGTGGGCCACCACTGGGACAAGTGTGATCTGTCACTCTATTAGGGATAGTGTCAGGGATGCAAGCTTTTCCAAGGTTGCCATGGATATACATGCTCACATAGTGTTCCATCACTTCCTGGGGAGTTCGGGATGCTCCAACGTGAGCAGCCATATCCTCCTAGAAGGAGAGAGTTCAGGAAATTAGTGCCAACTTGATTAGCTCAGTTCTAAAAATACACCAAGTTATCAAGAATAACGTCTCAAGTTATCAAGAATAACATCAACTAGGGATATGAATGATAGTCAACTATCTGATAAGCAAATGCTTATTGTATAGTCGAGTCAACTAGTCACTTCCCCCACCCCTTGCTGCCTCTATCGGAAATAGGCAGTGGGGGAGGGGGGAATGAACGACAAGGGGGTACTTCAAAGAGGCAGCATCACATGGAGCCTGGGGCCACACCCCGGGCTCCGTGTGGCCCTTTGAAACACCACATGAAGTCTGATGCTGGACTCCGCGTGATGTTTCAAATTGGCAGTGCCACACAGAGCCCTGGGGTCAACGGGGGAGTCCCCAGCCAGCCCTATGCTCCCCGCAGTGCGTTTGCCTTTGCAGTATAGCAACAGCCCTAGGGTTATGGGAGATTTGATAATGAGCCTGAGGATGTCCCTTCCTGGTGTTGCTCATGCAGATACTGAGGATGTGTTGGAATTCATCGAGAAACCATTGTAGTTTGCTCAGTCTGAGAGTTTAGGCACTGGGGTGCTGTTGGCATCTGTATGTATTTGCTACACTTCAAAGTTAGAGGCGCCCTATCAACTAATCGAATAGTCGATGCAAATTGCATCGACTATTTGATTAGTCCATTACTTGAAATTTAACATCCCTAACATCAAACAGAAGTGTCTTTTTCTCAGCAATATATACATTAGCCATTCTAGTGTGGGTTCACACCATCTTGTTCAAAATGCATCAACTATTCGATTAGTCAACCACCTAATACTTAACATCCTTATGCTATACCGTGCCAAAACAAGGAAATGTTGTTAATGTAGTTTAAAGAGTAAGAATCCATGTGACTTAACAGTTGTCACATACTGGAATGAAAAATGAACAGAGGTGTAATTAGAAAACAGAACAAGTTAGCAAACTGAATCAGACCTGCAATAAAACTGGATAGGGTTATGTACAAAAGGACATCTTTACTGTTCTTTTTAAAGGACAGATTATGTTGCAAGTCTTTGGGGGGGGGGCAAACACTTCTTTTACTAGAATCACTCCCGCACATACTAATTATGCAATCTGTGGGCTTCTTTGGTGACTATTTCTCTTCAAATACACACACACACACACACACACACACACACACACACACACACGGACTGTGAAACAGGTACTGAAAAAAGGCAGGCTATCAAACAAGTATGAGGGGGTCACCAAATTAAATTAATAGGCAGCTTGTTTAAAGCAAACGAGTAAGTATTTCTTCACACAACACACAGTCAACCTATGGAAGTCCTTTACAGAGGATGTCATGACAGCCAAGACTATAACAGGGCTAAAGGAAGAACTGGATAAATGTATGGAGGATAAGTCCACCAATGGCTATTAGCTAGGATGGGTAAGGATGGTGTCCCTAGCCTTTGACTGCCAGAAACTGGGAATGGGCAACGGGATAGATCACTTGATAACTAACTACCTGTTCTGTTCATTGTGTAGGGGCAGCAGTTCCTAACCACTGGTCCACAGACTGGCAGCGAGCCATGAACCCCTGCCTGCCGGGTCAACGCACACTGCCATGCCATGTCCCCAGATGCTAATGAGCCCACCAGCTGGAGTTCCCCATGCAGTAGCAGGCTGGGTGGCTCAGAAGACAACTGGGTGTGCTGCAACAGGTGCCGCAATAAGCTGTCCCTATTGGGGCAGCCTCACCGTGGCCCCAGCTCCAGCAGCCGCTACGCAGCCCGGCTCGTGGGGCCACACGACGGGCAGCTGCAGTGCTCATTGGGGCCAAGCGCCGTGGCGCTCGGTATCAACACTACTAGCCAGTCTGATGGCCTGCGAAGTGGTGAGGTTTCAGTGAGCCGCGAAAGGCAAAAACCGTCTTGAAATGCCTGACACCGGAGCACGAAGAGCAGCTGAGGGGGAAGGGAGCCGCTGGGGTGGGCAGACGAGCTGGCTGTCAGCCCCGGGACGCCGTGGAGCTGACACGGGCAGAAGGGGCGGCGGGGAAGCGCGAGGCACGGCTGGATGCGGAGCGTGGAGGGAACGACATCTCCCACCCGGAAAAGCCGCGGCCGTGACACACCGACCCCGAGTCCGGCTCCCTGGGCAGCCCCCCCCCCCGTTTGACAGGCCAGGGCAATGCCCGGCCCCGAGGCTGCCAGGGGAGGCGGGGTGAGCGGCTGCCGGCTCCGCGGCCCCCTGCGCTGCCCGGCTCGCTTACCCAGTTGCCGAAGCCGAACTGCTCGATCGCGTCCAGCAGCAGCTGCTCCTCCCGGCTGCTCCAGCCGCCCTCGGCCTCGGCCCCCCAGAGGGTGAAGCGGCCGCCGTCCACCAGCTGGTAGCCGTGCCATCGGCGGTGCGGCCCGATCTCGGCGCCTGCCGAAAAGCAGTCGGGGCAGAGCTCGATGTCGGCACACTCGGTGCAACGGAAGCGGAGCGAGCTCACCTCAGCCAGGCAGTACACGCAGTACTTCTTCCCCAGTTCCGCCATCTTACCCCGCCCGCCGCGCGGCCCTGCGCCCGCGCGGCGCCGCCCATTCCCACAGACGGCCAATGGCAGGGCGCCCGAGGGTTGCGGACCCGAGGTGGAAGCCCAATAGAGCCCAAAACATCTGACACGCCCCTCCTCAGTGAAACCAATAAGAGGAGGGCGAGGAGGCGTGGCTACAAACGGAAGGCCAGTAGAAATCGAGGCTCTGCTTCCGTCCGCCTCTACTGTAACCAATCAGGTAAGCGACCCTAGGCAACCCCTTCGCGGAATGGTCGGCCAACGGTTTGTGGCGTCGGCGCAGTGGCGCAGCAGGGAGGGGGCAGCTCCTCCTATTGGCTGAAGGAGTCCGGCCTTGTCGCCTTGGCAACGGGGAAGACACGTAAACAAGGAAGCAGCGGGACTGAGACTGAGGCGCCCGAATCGCGCCGGGGCCAGCCGAGGGGGTGGGGGGGGA